TGTATGGCGTCAACTAAATCAGGATGTCAAAGATTACACTTTCTTTTCAAATGTCCACAACTCTTATTCTAGAATAGATTTTTTTTTTATTCCCTCAAAATACATGCATAGGGTAAAAGAATGTAAAATTGATTCCATTAATATTTCGGATCATGCAAGAGTTCATGTAACTATTCACTTGGAGAGTGGAGAATTTGTATCCAGGCGCTGGAAATTTGATAACTCCTTACTTAGAGACGAAAAATTCAAATTAAAAATGCGAATGTGGATAAGGTACTATATAAAAGAAAACAATGACCCCTCTAAAGATCCGAATATTATTTGGGAAGCTGCAAAAGCTACTTGAAGAGGACTTATTATCTCATACACATCTTTTAAAAAACGTGAAAAAATTAGGCTCAGACAAGAACTTGAAAGAGAAGTAAACAGATGTGAAGCACTTCATAAATCCGCATCAACAGATGAAAACTGGAAACAATTAAACACAGCCAGAGCTAAATTAAATATTGACTTAACAAATGAAAACATAACACAAATGAATCTTATCAGACAAAAGAATTATGAATTCGGCAATAAACCAAGTAAACTACTTGCCTATCAATTAAAGAAGGAGCAAGCAGAAAGGGCTATAAAAGCAATTAGTCTGAAAGACAACGAAATAAACTACCACCCAAAACAGATTAACCAGACTTTCTATGAATTTTATAACAAATTATACAAATCTCAATCTGATTACTCACAAGATGAACTGGACAATTATCTCCATAACATTAATTTACCTACGTTATCTGATTTAGATCAAGAGTATCTAAACTCATCAATTACAGAAGTAGAAGTTTTGGCTGCAATTAAATCTATGCCTATAAATAAAAGCCCAGGGCCAGATGGCTTCTCGGCAGAATTTTATAAAGAGTTTTGGACTGAACTTCAACCTATATTTATGTCAATGGTTAACAACTTTTCTCACAACAGAACACTTCCTCAAACAATGAATCTTGCATATATTACTGTACTACATAAAGATGGAAAAGACCCCTTGAATTGTTCCTCATTTAGGCCTATAAGCCTCTTGGATCATGATTATAAGATTATCACCAAATTATTAGCAAAACGACTGGAAATGATTTTACCTAAACTAATTAATCCTGATCAAACAGGTTTTGTCAAGGGCAGATACTCTTCTGATAATATAAGGAGACTTTTGAATATTATAAACCATTTGGACACCTGTCAGAGGCCTTCTCTGCTTCTTTCTTTAGATGCCGAGAAGGCTTTTGACAGGGTAGAGTGGAATTTTCTTTTTGCTATCTTGAACAGATTAAATATGGGCTCTCGGTTCATAGAGTGGGTCAAATCAATTTATAAAAATCCTAAAGCAGCGGTTATCACTAATGGCAGTTCCTCAAAAAAAAATTCCACTAACAAGGGGAACAAGACAGGGATGTCCACTGTCGCCTTTGCTTTTTGCTATTGTAATTGAACCACTGGCGTCATGTGTGCGAGACAACATGGGTATTAAAGGAGTGAAGATTAACGATGAACACAACATTTCTCTGTATGCTGACGATATCATTCTTTACTTAACAGACCCAGAAAATTCAGTACCACATCTGCACGACACGATAGAGCAATTTGGAAGATACTCAGGATATAAATTAATTTTAAGAAATCTAATGCTTGTTTCTTACATATGACGCCAACAGCAAATCTGGAAAAGTCTTGTTCTTTTAATTTGTCACCAGGTGGCTTTAAATACTTAGGAATAAATATAACACCACACCTGGATAATCTGTTTAAAAAGAATTACAATCCGCTCATTGACAAAATCAAACAGGATTTATCTAAATGGTCCACATTACCAATATCACTGCTAGGAAGAATCAATGTCATAAAAATGAATATTCTACCGAGATGTAATTTTCTTTTTCAAATGTTACCATGCTATTTATCCGCTGACTATTTTAAATCTCTCAATAGACATATCTCAAAATGTATCTGGTGTAATAAAAAACCAAGAATCAAGTTAATTACTCTTATGAAACCAGAAACTATGGGGGGACTTGGTCTTCCCAACTTTCAATACTACTTCTGGTCAGCTCAATTAAGAAATGTACTATCATGGTCTCTGGGAAGAAAGGATTCACTATGGGTTCAGATAGAAGCCAATGTCTTTGACCCGTTGCCAGTGGAAACTCTTATATTTGTTAAAGATTTCAATAAGGTGAAAAATATGGACAAATGTTTTACAGTGGTCAATACACTTTTAGCCTGGAGGGACTGTACAAAAAAAGTTCATGTTAACTCTGGTATTTCCATCTTTTCTCCTATTTTGAACAATCCTGATCTTAGCAAATATTTGTTGTCAATCGATATAAACAAATGGACGAAATCAGGTATAAAGCAATTGAAACATTTGTTTCACAAAGATATAACAATGAAATCATTTAATGATTTAAGAGCAGAATATGACATTTCAAATAAGGATTTTTTCAGATACCTGCAAATTAGGAACGTGATCCAATCAATTATTAAAAGCAATAAATTGAGATCGGGATTGTTAGAAGAGGAGGAGATATTGATGTCATCGAGCACGATCAAAGGTAAAATTAGTGAATTTAATGCAGTTTTTTCTAAAAGAGCTCAGTCATCATTTCTAACTTTAAAAAAGATCTGGGAAAAGGATTTAGGGATACAGATAGATGAAACTACTTGGCTGAATATTTGTGAAAGAACACATTTTCCATTCACAAGCAATAAAATCAAAGAAGCAAACTTTAAATTTATCAACAAATTCTACCTCACACCCATAAAGATGCATAACATTTCCAAAGAAAACTCTCCAAAATGTCCGAGATGTCAAATAAAAGAAGGAACATTTATGCATCTGTTTTGGGATTGTGATGTCTTGAAACATTTCTGGGATTCGATTCATGCTCTCACAAAAGCCGTTTTAGACATCGAAATTAGCCTAAATCCATGTTTTTTCCTGTTAAATGACATGCCAAACTTTAAACTGAACCCAAAACATTACAGAATACTAATCACAATAACATATTTTGCCAAGAAATGTATACTTTTATTCTGGAAGAATGAACGTCCCCCAACATTTAAACTTTTCATTGATCAGATAACACATTTTTTACCTCTGGAGAAAATGACATTGGAAAAATATAATCGTGGACATATTTTTGAAGCTCTGTGGTTGCCATTGTTTTCTTATTTGGAAAACATATCTGAGATATGACCAGTGATGGAATGGTGCATTCTGTGGCTATTTGTCCTGACGGCCGGAAATACGTGTTATGGTGTCGTCATTTTCTACATTGTCACTGTATTGTATAATTATTTGTTTGTTTTACTTGTCTGGTTTTTATTTTATTTTTAATTTATTTATTTTTTGGTTCTATTTTTTCCTTTTCCTTTTTATGTTTATTTTCATGGCTCTGTTGTTTAAGTTATATTGATAAGCATTTTTTGGTTTTGCCTGTGCGGGTATGTGTGGGTGGAGGGAGGGAGGGGGGAGTGTAGTGAGTGTACTGTGATATTACAATATAAATGAAATGGCATCGATTATTGTACACTATAATGAAATAAAAAGACTTGTAAAAAAAAAAAGAATTAAAAAAAAGAAAAAAGAAAAAAAGATAAAAGTAATATGTACTGTATTACATTTTGGATGTAACTTGCCCAACACTGTATTTCAGTAATGTCGTCATGACAGCGAACATCAAGATAATGTACTTGATTTGGAGTGGAGGCTTTCATGCTCTCTCAATCTGGATCTTTAACCTGTTAAGCCCTGAGCCTGTTTTTCAGGTCTCAGGCTCGAAAATGACATTCCCAGAACAAATGACCATATCTTCCCTTCTAAAAGGGTTAAATTAATAATCTTTTTTCTCAAAGTAATGATAAACCTGTGAGTTGGATGTAGAAAAGTCAGAATCAATATAGATGTTTTTTATTTTAAAGAAAATTCAGATTTTACATAGTAAAAAACTGTAAATTATAGTGTCCATCCAAAAATTATTTTGTACTTATATTGAAAACTACCCTTGGATGATGGGTTAGTAGACTAAAAGCTTTAGGAATCCAAAGTACAACATATAATAAGTACCCTGTATCAAGATTGATGCAAAACAAGTGACATTTGACCTTTTTAGAGAGGTTTAGCCAAAAACACTCCACCTCTGAGGTGATTTGGGTAAAAATGTTTTTTTTCCTTCATATCTCTGGAACCCATTGGTCGATTTTGATGGTTGACACCTCTTTCTGACCGTTAGAGCCAATAGAATCGAAGGGGGAGTCCCCCACACACACTCATTGTGAAACAAAAAGGAGGGGGCTTTGCGCATGTCATTTTGCATTAGAGTGAAGCTACATTCTAGCTCTGACATCTAGAAACGGAATAGCATGGATTATCCGTTTTATTGCTCATGGATTATCAGAAATCATTTCAAAGGGACACAGACACATTGGATTAACCTATGGATTAACTTCAGCAGCGTTTTTATCGTTTTAATGCCATTGAAGACCACTTTGGATTGACTACAGAGCCAAGGTAACCATGTTAGCATTTTTAGCTACCTAGCGTCACCTGTTTTGATGTCTGTTTTTGTTTAGAACATCGCAAATTCGTATAATTCAGTGATAATGAGGGTACCCATCAATTCTGTGTCACCTCACGATGTGAAACGATGTCATGGATGTGGAGAAAAGATAAATAATAAGGTTTTGTGAGTGATCTTCGGTGCAGTAATCTGTTAGCATTTTTCGCTCATTGCTAATTCAGAGGCTCAGTGTTAGCATTGTGGGTTTTCTTTTAAAAAAAAAAATATATATTATCAGTTAGATGGATATAAAACATTCATAGTTTATTAAATGAACATGCCCTCAGACACTGTTTCCTGCAAGATGTTGCGGCAGTGCCCCGGTACCGGGGTCTCTCGGGCTTAACAGGTTAAACAAAACTTCTGTAAATGAAAAGAAATCAACCAAGCCGCTGCAGTTTGAAAAATAGAGCATTTATTTGTGAAGGGCCGGTCCTTGCAGCCAGGGCTCTTTCACTTTCATAGTGACCGTATTTCTTCCTCACTCAGAGCTTGTCAGAAGTACAAGAGGCTTATAGAAGCTTCAGATCAAGCTGATTGATACAAAACGGTGATCATTCGGTTTAATAAGGAACATGTCAGATAATGTTTCAACACAAACTAACTGGAAGACTCGGTGATCTTCAGCAGACTGGAGGTGCTCTTCAGCCTAAAAGGTCAAACAGACAAACAAATCATTAAATTAATTTAGTCCCAATTATATTTGAATTGACAAGTTGAACACATTTTTTTATCATTCTTAATATGATATATGCAGCAACACATCCTCTATAACAGGGGTAGCCAACACGGTGCCCGCGGGCACTTAGTCGCCCGCAGGGGCAACGTGAGTCGCCCGCGGGGCATGTTCTAAAAATAGCTCGCCAAGCAAATCCAAAATGTATAAAATACACAAAACAAAAAAGGAAATGTAATTAAAAGAATCTACCCTATGCATAAACGAAACCTAAATCATAGCGAACTCTATCTACTTACTACAACTCTATATCTACTTAACACCCCTCCCCCCCCCCACCCCCACAATGAATATCGACCAATCACGTTCTTGCTTGATTTGCGGGACCAGCGTTGCAGTCTGGAAGAAAAGCAATGTGGCACCTCCCCGCTGATTTTCCTTCTGGCAGAATCTACACAACACATCAGCCCCATTGAACAGCCTATCATGCCAGCCTATACAACACATGGGGGGCAGAGCTTTACTCTGTGTGTTGCAACTTGCATATATATTTATTGCACTTGACGCACACACACGGATCGCGTAATTTCCACCTGGGACAGGGGGGAAATGTCCCCCGCTCTTTTCGAAATCCCGTTTGTGCTAAATATATACACTGCAAAAAACAAAAACAATAGGAGTAAAAGTAGCCCCCGACTTGTTTTATTTATTGAAAGTAGCCCTCACCCTAAAAAAGGTTGGTGACCCCTGCTCTATAAGATCAAGAAACATTAAATGTTGGATCATCATCAGGACCAAATACCCTACAAGAAAGGAATCGGATCTTAAACAGAGCTACATTTTTTGTTTTGTTGGAGGGCCAGACTGACACTAAAACAAAAAACAAGGTCAGACAGATATGGTGGTTGCATTGTGTGAACTTTTATAAACAAAAGGAGAGATAAATCACAAAGCCAAAATCAGTGGGCGGCTCGACGTATATTGTGTACATTTGGAACTCTGAGGTCTGTGAAAAGAGGATCTTCATAGAAACTAAGGGCTTAATATAAAAAAAACTATAATAAAGAACTTACATGTTTGTGATCCTATCCAGTCTGTCCTTGATGTCCCCCTGGATAAAGAAACAGAACAGACCAAAAACGTTGTTACTTGCAACAAATATTGAACTGAAGAGATTTACTGCAGCAGCGTGGAATGGCCTAACTAAAGACAAGCCTGAGGATCTCAGACTGCGGGGAGGGGCTTCGGGATATATACAGCTCCACTGCAGCATTATGAGTTTCTCTGGTTTTACGATGTATATTTGTGTTTGAGTCAAATAAAATAATAAGAATAACAGTAGTCTAACTGACTGGTGATGAAGGCATGGATTACACTTTCCAGATTTTTGGAACTAAGAAATGTTAGATCTTTTGAATCTTTTAAATGTTTCTGAGGTGATGAATGCAGGATTGAAACATTTGGCATGTTTGTCTAAACTGAGGTTTTGGTAAAAGAATGACAACTGGATTCAGCTTAATCTTCCTGACCTATAATCATTTTCTCTGTCTTATCAGTATTTAGCTGCAGGATATTTTGTTCCAGTTGTGGACGCCCTGAAGGAGGTTTAGCAGGGTCACAGCTTAGATACACCTGAGTATCGACTGCGTACAAATGGAAACTGACGTCCTGTCTACACCTATATTACATAGAGCCCTGCATGGAAATGCACCGGGATATATATATATATATGTGACCTTCTCCATCCCTACATCGCCAGTAGGTCACTCAGGTCTTCAGACCAGGGCCTACTGGCTGTCCCACGGTCTCGTCTAAAAACTAAAGGTGACCGTGCCTTTCAGGTGGAGCTCCAACACTGTGGAACTCTCTCCCTATAGACATCCGCTCTGCAGTCTCTGTAGAAGCTTTTAAAAAAACTACTGAAGACCTATCTTTTTATATTGGCTTTTATTTCTATTTGAAATGTGTGTGGTGTGTTCTGTTATTATGTTTGTTCCTTTCAGGACTCCAGAGGCCTGTACTACGAAGCCGGTTCTACATAACCTGGATATGTTTGAGTTAGCCGGTTGGCCTAATCCAAAACATACGTGCTCTCGCTAAGCGGTCCTACGACGCTGGTTATCAAGTGGATCGCTCAAGCCAGCCGTGCCCTATCTAGTTAGGTGCGCGTTCACATGAAAGGGGTGGTATTTGGAGCATTCGACCAATCACAAACATGGACAAGCGTACTGACAGCGCAGCGTCATACTTCCTGAATGAGAAGTGAACTATAATATTAGACATATGAAGAAGTTAAACTTTAAACATCCATGACTTAAACACTTTATCCAGGATCAAAGCCACATAGCTGCACCTGCAAGGTGAATACAGCTGGTAAAAGAAAAAGTGTTTGAATGCGTACATTAACAGGTTTATGATATCACTGCCCCGTCCAAGACACGAGTGGATCTGACTTTAATTACATTTGACTCGAGTGTTTCGTCAACTTAATGTGTTGCTTAAAATAATACTTCTGCATACAGTATGTGACACTGAGTGTTGCACGGCCAGATACGGCTCAGCTGACTCAGATAAGGAAATATATGATACATTATGATGTGATATGATATGAATGATAATGGGACACATCGACGTCTGCACTCACAGTGCCGCGGACTGATCCGGTTACTTATGTTGTGGCAGATATTTAAGTAAGCTTTCTTAACGCTAATGTTATAATAGTCAGATTGCTCTGAAGATGGGAGGGGATATTCTATTCATTCTCACGTTCACACAGTCAGTTGATTTTTGCCGGCCGTCTTTCCTGCAACGGCAGTTTTTCTGTATTTCCTCTATCCTGTAATATGACTTGATCGCTTTAAACTCTGCACACTGAGCTCTGATTAGTCAGCAGGCGGTGCTTTCACTGAGTTGATCTCTTAGCCTGCAACCTAACCTGCTCCGGACCAGGGGCCTATACTACGAAGCAAGATTTTCGTTTAGCAAGCTAACTTCAGGGGTTTCCGGTCCTACGAAGCTGGTTCACTTTTTAGCGGGCTAGATAACTTATTCTGAACGGCTATCCTCCGGAGCAGGATAGGTTCCAGGATAAAAGCACTGCCTGCTGACCAATCAGAGCTCAGTGTGCGGATCAATTCATATTACAGGAGAAAGGAAATACAGTTTAAACTGCCGTTGCAGGAAAGACGGCCGGCCAAAATCACCGACTGTGTGAACGTGAAAATGAATAGAATATCCCCTCCCATCTTCAGAGCAATCTGACTATTATAACATTAGCGTTAAGAAAGCTTACTTAAATATCTGCCACAACTTAAGTAACCGGATCAAAGTAACATTAAGTACAGTCCGCGGCACTGTGAGTGCAGACGTCGATGTGTCCCATTATCATTCATATCATATCACATCATAATGTATCATATATTTCCTTATCTGAGTCAGCTGAGCCGTATCTGGCCGTGCAACACTCACAGTGTCACATACTGTATGCAGAAGTATTATTTTAAGCAACACATTAAGTTGACGAAACACTTGAGTCAAATGTAATTAAAGTCAGATCGTGTCTTAGACGGGGCAGTGATATCATAAACCTGTTAATGTACGCATTCAAACACTTTTTCTTTTACCAGCTGTATTCACCTTGCAGGTGCAGCTATGTGGCTTTGATCCTGGATAAAGTGTTTAAGTCATGGATGTTTAAAGTTTAACGTCTTCATATATGTCTAATATTATAGTTGACTTTTCATTCAGGAAGTATGACGCGCTCGCTGCGCTGTCAGTACGCGTCATACACAAACATGGCTTGTCCATGTTTGTGATTGGTCGATTGCTCCAGATACCACCCATTTTATGTGAACGCGCATCTAACTAGATAGGACACGGCTGGCTTGAGCGATCGAGTTGATAGCCAGTGACGTAGGACCGTTTAGCAAGAGCGTTTTTATTTTTTTATTTAGTCAACCGGATAACTCCAAACATATCCAGGATATATTGAACTAGATTCGTAGTATACCCCCCCAGGTTAGCCGCTCAGCATAAGTTACCATGGAGATCTAGCCCGCTAAAAAGAGAACCAGCGTCGTAGGACCGGAAACCCAGAGTTTTCCCTGAAGTTAGCCCGCTAAGCGAAAATCCTGCTTCGTAGTACAGGCCTCAGGTCTGTGTTATGTTTTTATGTTGACCTTAAACATTTCTGCCTTATGTGGTTATTATATTCATGTTTCTGTGGTCTTCATTTTAACTTTTGTTCTTTCTTGTGAAGCACTTTGTGAATTCTATTTCTGTGAAAGGTGCTATACGAAATAAACTTATAATTATTATTATTATTATTATTATATATGGTGGCCAAGAGGGAGCATGTTAATGGAAAAGAAAGGCACAAATGGACAAACTAACACTGTGAACAACACAATACAGTATAATGCAACCCAGTACTGAAATCTAAAACATCATTAAGTTAATATCCAAACCTGTTTAAAGAGTCGCAACAGAAATGTGTTTATACTAGGGCTGTCAAGTTAACGCGTTAATAACGCGTTAACGCAAAAAAAAATTAACGCCACTAATTATTTTAACGCGATTAACGCATGTGTATTTTTTGTCCTCGGCCGCCGTAGTTTCAGAGCGCATCGAGTGTAAAATACCATCGACAAGCTGATGCTGACAGCCCCGCTCCTGCCGCCCGCTTGTGGCAGACCACACTACCACGCTCACTGGCAGGCCCGGACTGGCCATCGGGAGGACCGGGAGGGAGTGTGTATGTGTGGCGCGACTGGCGCGACTCGCGCGAGCGAGGCACACCTTACGTGTTGTTGTTGTTAGCATCTGGTGCTAGCTAGCTGCGCTAACGGATATAAGCAGCTGTTTCAATGACATTTCGCCGACAACTGCGCCGAGCACTTGACTTTATGCAGGTAGCCAGACAGTGGGACATTGTAAGAAAAGTCAGCACACTCAGCACGGATAGTACGCGCTACATGATTGCAGCGTCCAGGCAGCACACGTTCGAGCATATATGCCTTGAGCGGCACATAGCTCCAACGATCCATCACAGTGTCTCTCTCTCTCCACACACACACACACACACACACACACACACACACACACACACACACACACACACACACACACACACACACACACACACACACACACACACACACACACACACACACACACACACACACACACACACACACACACACACACACACACACACACACACACACACACACACACACACACACACACACACACACACACACACACACACACACACACACACACACACACACACACACACACACACACACACACACACACACACACACACACACACACACACACACACACACACACACACACACACACACACACACACACACACACACACACACACACACACACACACACACACACACACACACACACACACACACACACAATTATTGTATGAGAGAGGTTCCAGGTTGAATTGAGGCGAATATTTGTAATGTTCAGGTTGTTGTGTTTAATATTCATGAGAATATTTCAAATTGTTCAAATGATAATAAACAAACATATAAAGCATATTTGTCCACTCATATGTTGATAAGAGTATTAAAAACTTGAAAGATATCCCTCTAAGGTACATTTAGAACAGATAAAAAATGTGCGATTAATTTGCGATTAATCGCGATTAACTATGGACAATCATGCGATTAATCGCGATTAAATATTTTAATCGACTGACAGCCCTAGTTTATACATAGTGACAGAGAGGAGGGTGTTTGTTCTGTCTCACCTTTGAAGCATCAGACATGGAGCTGGATGAGTAGTTAGATGCACATGGACAGGATGGACACTGCGGCGGGACACTTAACTGAGACATAGAGGCGAGAAAGCAGTGGTCAGTTTTAATTGTGCTTATTAAAGATTCATGGAAAACTGGCTTAGTGACTGCTGACTGCAAGATAATCACATGTAGTCACTGTGAGGGCTGCAGTTTGACTTAGCAAAGAGTTTCCCCACTTCTAAGTGATGTTACTGCAACTTAACAGCAACATTCCTAGCACACCAACATGAAGCTGAACTGACAATAGATTCACATTTAGAGTGGAAGTTACATGACTTTATTACAGTGTTATTCCCGATCACTTTTTAAAGTGTTCATTAGAGGCGAAGAGAAATTCCAGTGATTCTGAACATCTGAAGAACTTTGTGACACATCTGGGATACATAAACTCTGAGGCAATGATTGTAATCCTGAAATAATCCCACAACTACTTGTTTTTACCTTTTAGTCAAGCTCCCAGCTCGTAGAGTCCTATAGTGAACCCGGAAAAGTTTGATGTTAGAAATGTATAGTAGGGTCCCCAGCAGATAGAAACTGCCGTATGCTAACTTGCATATGTTTGGCAATTTGCACAATTACCATAAATTGCCTTAATTACCATGAATTACCATTATAGCCTACAATAGTAAAAAAAATGACTTGGTCGATTTGGGCAACTTTGGGGGTTATTGTGATGCCGAGTCCATTTCTGACATTTTTAAGGTTTTTTAAAAAATGGCAGTATTACCAGAAAGTTGACATATTTGTACTTGGTAGACTGATTTCGATTAATTTTGGTTCGATTTGGGAGATTTTCTGGATCATTTGGATTGGACAGTTTGCCTATTTATTTGAAAACAAAAATTGTCCACAGTAGAGGTACTCCTTTTCATCGTGTGCTCTCTATATCCAATGGTCACAACACTCCTCATGGTAGGTTAAATCTGCCCATGGAGTACAAATTTGAAAATACACTTTCTGGTTAAAACAAAAAAATGTATCCTGAAAATGTCAGAAATTGACTCAGCATCCTCAATAAGGCCCAAAACCACTCTAAAACTGGCCAATCGGCAGGCCATTTTTAAACTATTGTCCCCTTAGGCTATAATGCCATTAATGCTAATTAACACAATTTATGCTGATTGTGCAAATTGCCCAACATATGCAAGTTAGCATCCAGCAGTTTCTATGTGCTGCCCATACAATACATTTCTAACATAAAACGTTGGGGTACTCAACATCTCCGGTTCACTATGCTGGCAACTAGACTACTTCCTCAGATTAGCATAGATGTTACATCTTCACAATTGTAACGTGAAGATGCCCGATTAGATTAACACAATAGCAGAAACATGACATTCATAGGCTACCTTCTAAATCGAGATGGAATCAAAATAAAATGTCACAGCATGTACACTACCTGTATATTGTTCAGATCTACTTTAGTTTCCAATAACAGCAATCTGCTCATCAGATTTTCCCAGCTCTCTCTGGATATCGTGATGACCTGTTCTTCATCCTGAAAGAACATGATAAATGGAAAAGGTGGATGCAACAGTAATGTTGTATTACTTTGCTGTCTGTCCTGTAAAGGAAACATATACAACAAAGGGATGAATATGTAACAGAAATAGACCTTGTCTGTGTTTCTGTGTTGGTCACGTTCCTCCATGCGCTCCTCCAGCACACTGAGCCGGTCCAGCACACACACCACACTCCCTAGTTGAGCTTCCAGTGCGGACAGCCTCCCCTCTACTTCTGACGACTGAAAGACAAAGATAACAGTTACATTACATTTCATGTTGCATGTGTTCACACTCACCTATAGAGGTCCTCACAACTTTAGGCTGTTTCAAAGTGTCAGTAATAAACACAACAATCAGCCCATCACAGACCTTTGATGGGCTGTCTTCTCTTTGATGGGCTGTCTTCTGAATGGTTAAACATCACTAATGGTGTACCACAAGGTTCAGTTTTAGGTCCACTATTATTCTCTATCTATATTAATAGTTTAGGTGAAAATGTCGAAGGAGCAACCTTACATTTTTATGCGGACGATACCGTTATGTACTGTGCAGGTCCCTCGACCTTAAGCTTAAGCTTCTTTTAAATGTGGATAAAACCAAGGTAATGCTCTTTTCTAAAGCTACAAATACACCAGAGACTGCTTTGGATATTGTAACTACGCAAGGAATACAACTTGAAGTGGTTGCCTGTTACAAATACCTGGGTATCTGGCTTGATGACTGTCTCACTTTTAAATTTCATGTAAATAACCTGCTTAAAAAACTGAGGGTTAGGCTAGGTTTCTTTTACAGAAACGAGTCCTGTTTCTCGCTTGAGGCCAGGAAAAGGCTCTGTGACCTTTTGACCTGTGCTGGACTATGGTGATTTGTTATATATGAATGCACCTGCCCATTGCCTGAGCAAGTTAGATGCTGCGTATCACAGTGCACTGAGATTTGTGACAAATTGTAAAGCACTTACGCATCACTGTACACTGTATACCAAGGCGGTTTTGCCATCACTTACTGTACGGAGGCTCAGTCACTGGTACATGTTCATTTACAAAGCCATGTTGGATAAACTACCTTCTTATATCTGCTCTCTGATCTCTCGGCGAATTGAAAGTAGTTATTGCCTGAGATCGCATGCTGTGGTTTTATTAAATGTGTCAAGTGCTAGGACTGTCTTAGGGAAGAAAGCTTTTAGATGTGCAGCTCCACTAACTTGGAACAGTCTGCAAAAAGAATGGAAAATTACCAATCTGGTACCACTACATGTTTTTAAAGCTCGGTTGGATGCTACACAATCAGATGCTGTTGGTACCTGTACATGTGGATAGATATGTAAATTGTAATCCCTGTAATATTTGCTGTATGATGTCCTTTTGTTGTTCTGTTGTTTATGTTTTTATGTCTTCATGTGGAACCTACTGCTGCAGGTCTCCCTTGAAAAAGAGATAATTGATCTCAATGGGATTTCACCTGGATAAATAAAGGTTTTGAATTGAATTGAATTGAACAAGGCTGCTGGAAGTCAGTCAGTGTATATGATGACATCATACTAACTGTTGCACAACATTCATCTTCTATGAGTTCATTTGAATGGGCAGGATCATGTACAGTATATCATGTTGTATAATCTAACAAAATATATGTCCCTCTGGGTGTGTTAGTACAATTAGCAAAAGACAAATGCGATTGTTTAATAGATATTTCTTTAATTGAGTAAATCAAAATATACAGATAAACTCTATATATATGTTTTAGGGGATAAAAAGAATGTTTCTATTTGCAAATGGCTGTTAACGCCTTCGACAAGCTCTACCTAAGTCTTCACACTGCTTCAGTAAATGCTTACATAGAGGAGGTGATCGTTGTCCACACCCTGTCCTGCCAGCTCTCCCTCTCTAGGAGAAGTGGACGAGTGCACTTCATTATGAGAAATATGAGTCACAATATGGGAGGAGAATGCTTCTGCATGGGAGGAGTTTGTGGGGGAAATGGAGCAATTTCCCATGTGATTCTCAACCACTGGCTTCTTGGACATCTGAAACACATCAAAACCCAATGGCATTCAACTAAAGAGAAATTCCCTTAAGTAAACTCCTAATCATCACAGCTTTCTCAGAAATATCAGCTTACTTACCAGCAAGTATCAAATACTTCTATTTATAAGTGCATGTCACTAATATTAGTATATTAGAGGGTTTAAAGGTTGTGTTCAATGCAAGTTACCATCTGAAATGATATGGCTTCTTCGTACAGAAACACAGTCTGACGAGCACATTGAAGGCCCTCACATCTTTCTCCATACTGTTTAAAGTTGTTTAGTATTAGGTAATCTTTTGCCTTAGGTATCTGTTTTCTAAAGAAAGCCAGCTGGAGCACGACCTTTTAAATTGTGTTATTCAATCACACTGAATATGCACAGCTGTGGGTTTTATGGGTAAACCTGAAGTGGCTACCTTCCGGGCGGAGCGCTAAACTGTACTTCATCGCATGACCACATGAAGCTGGCGCTAATGGAACTCTGTGTCAATGCCCACATTTAAAGCAAAACCTAGAAATGTTACAGCCCGGTATAAAAGCATTGTGGGTCTTTACGAGTCATTTCTCCATGCATGGCAACTGTTCAGGGGATACATTTTTAATTAACTCAGTCATTTGAATCTTAACGGCTTAAAGTTGCGCATTATTAGGGGTGTGGTGCCATATCTTGAAGCCAACAATAATCAATAGTTTACAGTCCTTTGTATTTTTAGTGGAGATCTCAAGGTTCAAGGTTCAAGGTTTTATTTGTCATACGAACATAGCTACAGTGTAGTTACGACGATGAAAATCTTAGGTCACAGGCTCCTCCAACAGTGCAACACAATAACACAGATAAACATAAAAATATAGTGCAGGTAAATAGTAAATACAAAAATAAAAATAGTTTAAAAAGTGAAATAGTGAAATAGTGCAATAAGAGTCTAAATGCAAGTTATTGCAATATGATATCTTTGCACTCTGCTTACAGTGTCTGCATCAGTCAGGGTCGGATGGGCTTCTCCTCTGTCTTCCTTGTGTGAGGGAGGACATCTGACTCTCTGCTGCAACTGTAAATGTTTAACGGGTCTCTACATTTGGAAAATACATGTTTTCTCATATTCAAACAAAATAACTAATTTATTTTTGAAAAGGCCATTCATGAGTACTTTTAAGATTGGAATACTGCTCTGGAATAATAAAGAGACCACTGCAGCAATATCAGTTTCTCTGGATTTACTATTTATAGGTTTGTGTTTGAGTAAAAACATATAACTACTGACAACATGTATCTGTGTTGGAATTTAACAGACACTGGATTGTAATGGCTGCCATACATGTAGAGAATGAGATTCAAGACAAATGTGGAGGGGTCTCTTAATTTTTTTTTCAGAGCTGTATTAAGTACATTTAGCCTTTTTTGTTACACACTACTGCATCTGGTACAAACAGATGTTATCTGTGAGAGTAAAAAGTAGTAATTGAAAGGTTCTGTACCTTCTTTAGTAGGTTGTGTTTCTGCAGGACCAAGTTAATGATGTCACAGATTACAGAGATCTTCCTCACAGAGAACCCCCACTGGAGAAACTGCTGCTTGGTCAGTATGGGCTTATAGTGGAAGATATCTCGCAGTACCTAAACACAAATCACACTCTTACATTTGATCACACAACCTATAACAATTGTGAGAGTGAAGTGAAAATTCCCTGTATAGTAGTGGGATGTTAGTCAATGTCCCTGAAAGATAGAGGATGAATGTGAAATAAGAATTAAGAGCTTGACAACGTAATGCTGCATCTGTGAAAACATGGCGCTAAGATTGTGGGTATGTACTACCTTATAAAGAGTGTCAGTGAATCGGAGGTCCGTTTTGCCAGTCAGCTCAAGTCCATCCTCCATCAGTTGGTTAGCAAAAGGTGGAGAGAAGGAGGTGAGGGTGAAGCTCACAATAGGTAGGAAAGCGGAGGGATCCCCTTTGGAAAGGCTAGTGGAGAACCAAAGAATGACATACTAGATGGTGAGAAAATGTGCGCATAAGGAAAGATAGAATCTGATATTTAATGTCCACTGCTCAAAGTAGTTGTGATCACACACAGGAGTGATAATGCAGAGAGGCAATCACATCCTGCAGAAACCAAACCTGAGCATGAATTATTATTTAATGATTCTCTACAGTGTGCCAAACCTGCATTACACAATAGTGAGTCAATTTACTTACACATATCTGCATTTGTTTATGTTACATTAGGATTTAAAATGAATCTTGTGTGTATTTCATAATAGATACGGTTTGTTGGAGGTGTATATAATTGTGTATAATTGATATTATACTGTATCAAACATCCACAGCTTTCACATGTCAAACTATGTGCTGTGTTTGATTTGGTGTTAAGGGTCTGTGCTGTTTCTACAAAAAGAGCAAAATGCTGCAGACAAACAATTAAAAAGTAACTAGAGTTGGATGCTGGCCAAAAAACACACAATGACATTATGATGAGACGGCAAGAAAAAAAGAAATAGCTTTTGGAAAAAAGTCGAATGAGGAGTGTAATATTAGCGTACCATATGCCAGCAGCAGGGTGGGGGGGCCGTAGGGTCCCATGTTCCTGCTGCTTGCTGTGTAATAAACCTGCTCCCTATCATTTATGGAATTACTTTAGACAACCCTATAGATAACTTTTCAGTCAATAATATTGTTATTCTATGTACATGTTATACCCATACATCCAAATGTATTAAAGCAAACCCTAAATGTGATGTAGTTCACAATGAGTTTCTTTATTTTTTCAAAGCACTTAAATTAATGAAAAACAAAAATTCAATTAAACTGTTAAGCATGATTGAAAAATACGGTTTATGTAAAAAGCACTAGCCCCTTGTTGTATGTACTTAACTTTATTACTTTGATGTCTTCTGTATGCACCAGAAAAGTGTTCGTTGAAGACTCCGAAAGCCATGTTGTTGGTACATGCCTTTTCCAATAAAGAGCTTTAAAATAAGAAAGATAAACCCTGCTCACTGACTGCTGCTGGAGACATGCTGACGTTAGCGTTGTGATCTTAAACTAGCTTCGTTTAATACAACCTTGTGATGATACGTCAACGTTACAGTATGACGGTTTTAAAGGTTTCTGTTAGACTGGTGTGAGTTGTATTGTTACCCATTATAGTCCACATGTCCTGGGTACTTTATGGTCCGCAGGAGAGTTTCCAGTTTACGAAGACAAGCATTGACATCTCCATTCGACAGCATCTTGCCTGCGAGAGAAAGAGAAACGCTAAACTAAAAGTCTACACACAGTAGACGACATACAACTCCTAAATACTCAGCATAACATTTCAAAAACTTTTCTTCATGTGTAAACGAATACAGTAGTTAAAAAGGTTGCTGTAACCTACCACTCGTTAGTTTGTTTTGCCGGGTGATCCCCCGCACCAATGCGATTGGCTGTTGCGCGGCAAGTCTTTACACGTTCTGTAACGCGTTGACGTCATTGACGTAACCTGTACGCACACAGCTTTCTGATTTTTATTTTTTGTTTAGTTTAGTTTATCAGTTTGTCATCGGCTGCATCTCACTTCGGTTAAATTAAATCCTTGCGTCGTTTCCCTCCCACCAGGGAAGCATGGAGAGACGCAAGGACACCACGAGAAGCAGGGAAATTAGTTTTAAGAGCAATGGGACGTCCTTTCCTCCGGAGCGTCACGTGAAGCGACGTCCGTTTGTGATGACTCCGCACAGCTGATCGTCTGACAGCAGCCGGGGCCCGTTCTCATTTCATCAAATGTCCCTCCTCGACTCCTCGACTCCTCGGTCCTCCGGTAGTGACCCGGAAATGAATTTTAGCGCGCCATGTTGAAGGACATCTAATTTCTCTAAATGCACATCGAGGACCGAGCATCAAGCGTCGAGGAGGCTCTCTGGAGGAGCTATAACCGAGGATACACTGATGGGTCCTCCACGGTCCTCCACGGCTCCTTCGTGGATGCATTTCCGGCAACAGAGATGTTTCAAAGAGTCGTGACCATGGTCGTGACGCACGGCCGGACTGATCTCAGCCAATGACAGCTCTGCATGCATCCCCTGGATATTATTTTATTAACTGCTTTCATCGCGACGCGATGTTTACAGTGAGAACAGCTGTGAGGTCCGTGCAGAAAGCAGAGCAGTGTGTAAAATATATATCACTCAGTATAACAGGCCTACTCTCTTTATTTGCTTTAGTTTAGTAGATATCTACAAACAAAGTCGATATTTTTCTAAAACCATTTAGTGCTTCACATAATAAAATACACAACGGCTGTAGCCTGATTATGCTTTAGGAGCTGTAGGTGCGTGTGTGTAGTGTAGGTGTGTGTGGTACAGTGTGTGCGTAGATGCAGCGGACAGACAGGTCTCAGTTGGTTTGGTGTCCTCTGCTTACTTGTAATACTTGTAAATAAAACTTTTGGCCCGTCATTTATTTTCCTCATTGTAGCGACCAGAGAGGGGAGAGGGGGGGGGGGATATATCCAGTCTCTGATAGTGTTACGTTATTATGAGAGTGCTCTGTTTGATTCTGAAATTGTATATATTTATATAAATATATACATACGTGTGTGTGTGTGTGTGTGTGTGTGTGTGTGTGTGTGTGTGTGTGTGTGTGTGTGTGTGTGTGTGTGTGTGTGTGTGTGTGTGTGTGTGTGTGTGTGTGTGTGTGTGTGTGTGTGTGTGTGTGTGTGTGTGTGTGTGTGTGTGTGTGTGGTGTGTGTGTGTGTGTGTGTGTGTGTGTGTGTGTGTGTGTGTGTGTGTCCCCGCATCTGTAGCCTGTTATTGTCTCATTATACCGCACTGGGAATGAATTAAAAGTAAATATATAAGTCGTCATGAACACATCTGTCCATCAGACAGAGGGCTGCTGTGCCTCCTGTCATCATTAATGGACGTCTCTTTAAAATGACCGCTCAGAGGAGAGGAGTTCTCATTTCTCTAACCGCTTGCTGCTTCCCCTCCTTTCTCCTCGGCTCCCCTCCTCGGCTCCTCCGCTCGCATCTCCTGTGGGCGGGACTAAGTCTCGAGGATAGGAGTCGAGGAGGGGAGTCGAGGAGGGACATTTGATGAAATGAGAACGGGCCCCGCTCTGTCCCCGTTGTGTTCACAAACACCCACGCCTCTGTTATGCGGCTTTCACACCAGCGCTTTTCCCTTTCTAGCTCCGAGCTAGAGCTTTTCTGGTTCAGCTCCGGTTTTCCTTTTCTGCTCCCGCTTTGTTCACACCGCCCAGAGCCCGACTAGTGCTGCCGCTGCTGCGTCATGACGTCACCGTTTACATCGCTGATTTGCTCCCCAACGACGCTCAACAACAACAACAACAACAACAACAACAACAACAACAACAACGGGGGACTGCGTCGGGTCGATGATCGTGTTGCTTTTAATCATACGAAGCCAGATTAAATAAAATAACGACTTCTCCAACCTTATACTTTTCTCCAGAGTGCCGTGGTTCATTGTTTATTAATGTGTTTCAGCGGCATTTACCGATCGCTGCAGTGCTGGCTGCTCTTCCACGGGAGTTTATTCTCCCGTTAGCTCCGGGTTAGCTCACACGGCTCTAAAGTATTCACTGTCTGACTGTCACACAAGCAGATACATATCCCCAGTTCCCCTTAAGTGAATGTGTGTCAGTCTGAATTGACGCTGTTATGAAAGTTTCTCTGGTATAACATGGGTGATGTTAGCATAGCAACCGAAGCTAAACTGACTACTTGCTAAGCCGTGTTCTACAGGCACATTTTACCGGCGTATTTTTCATTATGATTCTACTTGTGATAGTCGGACATGACAACCTGTGCAGCCCATGTATTGATTCCATCCGATAGCTGCGTGGTGTGTGGTTGCCTTCTAGTCACTTTGCTCAGCGCTACTGCTTGTAGGCAGGCATGACGAGACTCTTCAGTCGACCCATGTTCAGGGGAGGTGGTTTTTTTTTTCCTGCACGCCTCGACGTAAGAGAGACGTAAGCGACGCCGCCTCTTAGCTCCGAAGCTCTTGCTTCTAGACCGAGGCTGCGTTTCACTTCGGTTAAATGGATTCCTTGCGTCCCTCACTTGCGTCGTTTCCCTGCGACTAGTCCCTCCCACCAGGGAAGCATGGAGAGACGCAAGGAAACCACGAGAAGCAGGGAAATGAGTTTTAAGAGCAATAGAGTGGCGAAGTCACGCCCATCTACTTCCGGTCCATGGGACCTTATTTCGGAAAAATAATGTATTGAAGTCAATGGAGAGAGAAAACTTATCTTTCGATCCCGTTTGAATTGTGCCATGAATTACACATATGATGTTTGTCAATCTTAAAAAATAATTTCCATGTCAAAAAAGTCACAGTTTGTCGTAAAACTGTTGAAATATAAGACTATGAAAAATACGCAACTAGAAAGACTACAAATCCAGAGTCGCGTAAGTGATGTCACAATTGTTTTCCTCCACTAAGAGATAGCTAAGATCAGCGCCATATAGATAGAATCTATCTGGCGCTGGCTAAGATAAGATAACTTTAACAAGATGCCTGTGTGCTTCATCAAATCAAATCAAGGTTTATTTATAAAGCACATTTAAAAGCGATTTTTGGTCGGGCCAAAGTGCTGTACATGTAATAACTACAATCACATAAAAACACATTTCTATAATCACAATAAAAGACAATAAATTACAACAGATATTTAAAAAGAAAACACAGGGAAAAGTCAGGAGTCGTGCTCCGCTCTGACTAAAAGGCCAGGGAGAAGAAGTGTGTCTTAAGAGTAGATTTAAAAACCCCTAGGGTCTGGGCCGACCTCACATGGAGGGGCAGAGTGTTCCAGAGCCTCGGGCCAGCTGCTGCGAAGGCTCGGTGCCCTCGGGTTTTGAGCCTGGTCTTGGGCACTATCAGCAACAGCTGGTCAGCAGACCTTAAAGCTCTTGTTGGGGTGTAGCGCTGGAGGAGTTCGGCTATATAGGCCGGAGCCAGCCCATTTAGTGCGTTAAAAACAAATAACAGGAGTTTAAAATCAATTCGGAACCGAATTGGAAGCCAGTGCAGTGAGGCCAGAATTGAGGTGATGAGGTCGCGCTTTTTGTGGCCAGTGAGTAGACGTGCAGCTGCGTTCTGGACTAGCTGCAGGCGTTTAATTGACGCCTGGTCCATACCCACGTACAGAGCGTTGCAGTAGTCCAACCTCGAGGTAACAAAGGCATTAATAACCCTTTCCAGGTCCTCAAACGATAAAAACGACTTAGTCTTGGCCAATAGTCGTATTTCAAAAAAGCAGGTTTTGACTACGCTGCTGACCTGCTTATCGAATTTAAAAGCGCTATTGAAGGTCACTCCAAAGTTCGTGACAGAGGGGAGGATATTATTTTTGAGGGAGCCCAGAATATCAACCTGGGAGGCTAGAGGTTGGGGTCCAAAAAAGATAACCTCAGTCTTGCTCTCATTGAGGTTGAGGAAATGTTGGCTCAGCCAGGATTTGATCTCTGCTAAGCAGTCCATCAATAGCTGTAATGAGTTAACATTTGAATTGAGTGGCAGATAGATCTGTACATCGTCGGCGTAGCAGTGGAAGGGGATGTTGTGTTTTGTGAGAATTGAACCTAGGGGCAGTATGTACAGTAGAAAAAGGACCAGGTGCTTAGTACCAGGTTGTTATCATACCAGCAATGGGTCTTGCTCGTTCTTTCGCTTCCCGTCTGATGAAAGGAACAGTAGTGGCTGGATCAAGTTAGCTACCTAGCTAGTAGCTAGCACGTTAGTTAGCATTACAGCCTTGTCATTTTTATTAGCCTTAACATGAAGTAACATTAAGTAACCCAAAATGTTAAACAGTAAGAGTAGTAGTCATATTTCGTGAACCCTTTGAAGAGTACTGTCACCGGTGTGATCATTCTATTATACACAATTTAAGCCCGGGGGAGAAATGCTAATGCTAACGCTAGCATCGGCGATCTTTTCTACTTCATGCTATCTGCACAAATGGTTGACATTAAACATTAAAAAGACCAGGCAGTTCAGAGAGAAGGAAGGCAGGCAGGCAGCTTTGCATGACATTCTTCTGGACGTGTTTCATTGTGGTGATTGTGAGGGTAGTCAATCGTTTTGTTGACAAGACAGTAGTGACAGCCATCTTGGTGACGTGTGTTGTTCTGCGAGACCAGAGATGTAGTTCATTGAGCGTTTCACACAAACAAATGTGTTACTTCACAGTTTTACGACACATTTTTTTTTTTTTTACTTGCAAAATTATCTTTTAAATTGACAAACATCATATGTGTAATTCGTGGCACAATTCAAACGGGATCGAAAGATAATCTTTCTCTCTCCATTGACTTCAATACATAATTTTTCCGAAATAAGGTCCCATGGAGATCCACCGGAAGGGGAGGGACTTCGCCACTCTATGGGACGTCGTTTCCTCCGGAGCGTCACGTGAAGCGACGTCCGTTTGTGATGACGCTGCACAGCTGATCGTCTGACAGCAGCTCAGTCCCCGTTATTTTCACAAACACCCCCGCCTCTGTTAGTACACATTTACTGACACAAACATTTGTATCATCTGTTGTAGACCCAAATAAATAAAATCAAATAAGAACTCATTCTCAAAAAAGATAAACGCCATTCTTAAAATGTATAAACGAACATTAGTTTGATTAATATTGATTAGAGTGCACAATAGAAATAAAATGAGAGAAGAAAAAGAGATATGTTATCTATCAAAACCCAGTTAGATTAAAATTCATTGGATTGCACACTTAGTTTGTTTGTGTGGATATGTAGCAAATTAACATTTTAAATAGCACTTAATGACTGACTGAATGGAAATGACAATAAATGAAAATGTAAAACGAAAAAAGCGATCATGAAAAT